AAAAAAGAGGTACGATAATGTGACAAGTACTCGTGCGAACGTCATCAAAAGACTAGTCTCTCTGCCGCCAGCCAAAGTCTATGCGAAGTCGTGCGAGTCAGTGTTTGGCGACATTCGAGCGCTCATCAATGAGATGACTTCTTCTGGCTATGCAATCGCAGATACTTGCGATCCCATGTGGATTGAAACTATTCTTAAAAAGCTTCCACGTTCTATTGTAGAAGAGTTTTTGCGCGAAAATAAGACCGAAGAAGCCTTCACCGTGGGTGAAACGTTGGACCAACTGGAAAAGGTCATTATGAGACATGCGTACATCTCTCAGCGCTTTAGGACTCCAGGATTCCAAGCCAAACAGGACATTCAGTTCACGCGTGAAAACACTGCGAAGATCATTCCATGCACTTTCTGTGGCAGAACGAACCACAAGTCATACGAGTGCCGAACTGTAAAGGACGCCCATGCACGCAGAAAAGTAGTGATGGAGAAAAACCTCTGCTGGAAATGCTTCTCAGCGGACCACAAAAGCAGTGACTGCAAACGACCTCACTGCAAACGCTGCAATAGACTACACGATGAATCTCTCTGTTTACAAAAAGATAACGCAAGCTCATCAGAAAAAACGCAGGGCAAACGTCCCGTGGTACAAACCTCCCTGCAGGTACCTCCGCAAAGTTCAGAAGTGTGGAGTCAAGAAAGTGATCAACAGTCTCAATTGATTAACACTCCCCCAATGCAACCACATCTGGGCGACTCATCAACCATAGCACTACATGAGCAAATCGCTGCGGACAAATCTCGGTGTACCACTACAAACGAACAAATAGTTCTAATGACTGCGGAAGGCCTTGTCTGGAATCATTCTAGCAACCAGTACGAGCGAGCGCTTTTCTTTTTCGATACAGGCGCACAGGTCAGCCTGATTTTGGAAAAATCAGCTGAACATTTGGCTTTGCCTGTTTCCAAAACAGAACACTACTCATTGTCTGGAATTAGCGGCATGACAGAAACCTTTTTGTCCCATAATGTCGCACTAAGGGTTCAAACTGCTCAAGGACGAGAACTTGAATTTTCCGTGAAAACTAAGCCCACAATAACGGCAGGATTTCCCGCAGTATATCTCACCGAGCGCGATATACTGTACATGGAACGTCACAACTTATTTCTCACGAATACGCGCATGAAAGGAGAACTCCAGCTCCCCCATGTTCTGATTGGACTTGATCTCTATGACCATTTCGTTACCGAGAACAGCCCACTCATACAGTTACCGACCGGCCTCAAAGTCGCGCGAACAATATTCGGTCTAGCGGCATACGGTAGGGGACGAATTGAAAAAGATGTGTGTTGTACATCGCTTATGACTTGCAATACGCTGATCTCAGATAACGAGATGCTGAGGAATATGTTCGAACTGGAAGGGCTTGGTATTTCCACGAAAGAAGGTGCTGATGACGAAGAAGCGTACATGTACCTTTCCAAGTATGCGAAATTATTGCACTATGATGGGAAGTGTGTCAGCGCGCCTTTTCCCCTAAAAGCAAACGTCGTAGATCTGAGTGACAACTACAATATGGCGCTTCGTCGACTAGTCGCACAACTAAAACATCTTGAGCAACACCCAGAGCGGAAGATGTGGTATATAAAGATAATCAATCAATATCTCGATGATGACGTTATTGAGGAAGTTACCGAACCTGTCCCAGAGTCCGCAGGAACCTACTATATGCCGCATTCCGGCGTATGGAAGGAACACAAGTCCACCCCACTTAGGATAATGTTCGACGCCTCTTCCAAACAGAGAGGTCACTTGTCGCTAAACGACGTCATTCATACTGGTGCTCATTCGTAAATAAAATACATGACATACTCGTCGCCAGCCGAGAAAAACCTATCATCCTTATCGCAGACATTCCAAGCCGCCTTCACACAAATTCGCATTCATGAGGCCCACCGCGATTTATGCAGGTTTCTTTGGGTACGCGATCCAAAAAAGCCACCAACTCGTACGAACTTGATCGAGTACAGGTGGAAGAGGGTACCTTTCGGAATAACGTCTTCCCCGAGCATGTTGAATATGGTCTTGACAGCTTACCTACAGCAGTGCTCTACATCACTTGCGAACGAAATTCTGTCTCTACTTTATGTGGATAACGTTCTCATAGGAGCGCATTCTAAAGAGGAAGCCGTTGAAAAATACAAAGAGTCCAAATCACTATTTTCCGCAATAGGTATGAATCTGCGTGCATTCGTGAGTAATTGTGCAGAAGTAAACGACCTAATTGACGAGAAAGATAGAGCCCCATACGCACCTATGAAACTTCTAGGAGTCGATTACGACCCCGTCTCCGATGAATACTCATTAACAGCGAAAAGCTCTTCCGAGCCGAAGGTGAAAAGAGATTTCGTAAAGCAACATCACTCACTTTACGATCCGATAGGTCTTGGTGCTCCACTCATAGTTAGCCAGAAGCATCTGCTAAGAAAAATACTCGAAGAAAACCCGGACTGGAGCAGTGTAGTTAGCCATCAGCGTGTGCATGAATGGAAACAAGCGAGTAAAGCCATTGACAACTTTCATGTGCAGATTCCTCGGCAGTACTTCTCTTCCTATAGTACGCAAGCTAAGCGCTCCCTTTGGGTTTTCGCAGACGCGAGCAATACAGCGATGGCTGTCTGTGGTTACCTAGAAAACGACACTCCTAAGGAAGTGTCGTGCTTGATCAGCGGAAAGACTAAATTGGCCCCCCAGAAAAGAGCTCTTACTACACCAAAGCTAGAGCTTCTCGCGATTTTACTTGCAGTGCGACTTGCGGAATCAATAGCTCACGCGCTTTGCTAGCTTCACGCAGTAAACATAGCAAGTGATAGCTTAATCGCTTTGAGCTAAACTCGATCATCGCGGAAAGTCCCCCTCTTCGTGGCTAATCAAAGAGATAGAATCAAGACAATCATGAACAGATTGATCGCATTTGGGTGCCACTGCAGTCTTTTCCACGTACCCGGAGAAAAGAATCCGGCTGATGCAGGAACGCGCGGAGCCACAAGTCTGCAGCTCAAGAACCTCGACTGGATAAACGGACCACAGTGGCTGCTTAACCAAAATGAACGATCAGCGCTGACCAACATCGAATCCATTGATTCGTGGGATGTCGCAGAATCACCAACTGAGGATGTAGCGCTAACAGAGATAAAGCACAATAACAAAAATGAATCATCTCCTCTGATCGATCTGAGCCGCTTCAACAGCTTCAGCAAAGCATTGCGCGTAGCAGCCTATGTTGGCAAATTCATCGCCATTTTGAAAGAAAAGACATTTGCAGCAAGAAAGAATCAGACCGCGAATGTGCGCCATCCAAAATTCTCCACCGTGGTGGAAATCACAGCATCCGACCTAAACGAAGCAGAATGCCTCCTGCTCCAACTTGAGCATGAAAACATTCACTTGGAAGATCTCCAAAAACGTCATCGCGAGAAGCGACTATTTCGCGATGAAAAGGGAGTCATACGTTGTCAATCTCGGTTGCAAAACGCACATTTGTCTTACGACACTCGCAACCCCATCTATGTAGCATCGCGCTCCGAACTAATGCGCTTGATTTTACTCGATCTGCACAGAAATAATGCTCACTGCGGAAAACACCACCTACTGTCCCTAGCTAGACAACGTTTTTGGATGACAAGGCCATCTAAATGTGTGGGGCAAATCCTCAAAAATTGCGTTATATGTCGCAGAGCTCAGAGTCTCCCCTTCCAAGCTCCCGAAATGGCACCATTACCAGCAGACAGAGTCGTGAGAGCCAAACCATTCCAAAATACGGGATGCGACTTCTTCGGCCCATTCGTGCTCAGTACCAACACCAAAGTCTACGTCTGCATTTTCACGTGTCTTACCACCCGAGCGCTTCATCTTGAAGTCGTCGAAAATCTCTCCGCTGGCGCATTTCTTTGCAGTTTCGTACGCTTTGTTTCACGCAGAGGCGTTCCCACTGTTGTAAGAACGGACTGCGGAACAAACTTTACCCTTGGGCAAAAGGTCATAGACTCTCTGTTCGAAGCAAATGACAACGAAGCTAACCCATTCGTGACATATTGCGCCACCAACAGAATCGTTTGGTTATTCAACCCTCCCGGGGCCCCCTGGATGGGAGGAGTTTGGGAGAGACTCGTGCAATCGGTAAAGCTCAGCGTTCAGAAAAGTGTAGGAAGGAAAAGGTTATCTCTTACTGACCTAACCACAACAATAACCAGAATCGAGGCAATCCTCAACACCAGACCTCTGACAGCGATAAGTACGACTGATAGTTGCGCCTATCCACTACGCCCCGTTGACTTCCTGATGGGTAATGTCAGCTTTTCACTACCTCCCTTGAACCCAGATGATATCAACAACGATGACTCAACGTATGATCCTGAGTGCATCCAAACCGTATCTCAAGCTAAAGAAGCGTTACAATATTCGGAAGAAATAGCGAACAAATTTTGGGACATTTGGAATGTCGAGTATCTAACTGGTCCTCAGAGACTCCCACAAATCCTTGTTCAAAGATTGTCGGACTAATTCAAGAAAATTTCCCGAAGTGGGAGAGATAGTGCTCATAGAGCAAGAACTTTTGCCGCGAGGTCACTGGGCAGTCGGAAAAATTACAGAACTTGTGAAGAGCGCTGATGGACTTGTTCGCTCGGCAATGATCAAACTCCCTTACAAGAAGTCCTGCATCCAACGTCCAATCATCAAACTGTACCCCCTCGAACTCAGGGCAAATACGATTGAAAACAAACAGAAAATAAAAGCTGCTGAACGAAATCAATCTGGCATCACAAGGAAAAGTGATTCCTCCGTAGCCGCGCCGCAGCGGAAAGTGCAGCCATGCGATCAGCGAAAACAAAAGCCTATGATGCGTTACGTCAGCTCAAGCAGAGCGAAGATAGCAGCAACACAGAGGAATTAATTAGGATCCTCGCTTCAAACGGTAATAACCCGGAACAGTTATTTGCTATTAATGTTAATGACATTGTCACTCGCGGGCTGTAGAGCTTCACCGATTATTTCTTGTAACACAGGGACTGTAGACATACGCCCTCCTTCTCCTCCGTTCCAACTCTGCTTCAATGACCGTTGCAAGACCTTCAACCATAGCGCAGCAGTGATGCGATACGAACTTGTGCCGTTTCCACATACGCTGAACTACAGGATAATGCTGCGATCTGAAAGTGTCCTCGTACAGCGCATTTGCGATGCTGCACCATTTTGTGATAACGCTGCCAAAATTCTATCCAAATCCTTAATTGGCAACCCGTATTGTTGGCCTGTGGGTGCAATAATATCTGGTTGGTGTAGCATGCTACTGTCTAATTAGCTTTGTACTTCTTTTCATTTGGCTCATACTCAGGAAACGAGCGAAATCCAGCCAATCAGTATCAAATACAACGAACATTTCCTTGTCCGTAGTGCCAACAGAAAGAGAAAACGCTCCTTTCTCTTTAGCCACCTTCCGCCCTGCAGCCTTTACTCCGGCCGCGTCATCGCTCGCGCTTTTAGTGGCACTGTTTGCAGCGCTGACCTCACCTTGTCAGGATGGGTATATGAGACATTCTGTCGACTTAATCTGCTCGCAACAAAACTTTTGCCACTACGAATACAAACAAGAAATTCTGTTCAACAGTGTGCAGTCAAGTCTCTGCGTGCTGTTACGCCAACGAAATTCCACTGTTGGCTATGTCAAGGTTACACGCACAGCCGAGACGTTGTTCTGCCAAAAAATTTCTCACTTTTGGACTAGAGACACTACCAATGCGGTACAACAAGTGACACGATGCCGCGGCATGGGATCATGTTACGGCGACAAGTGCGAAACAGTAGCACCCACCGAAATCATTCCTGAACTAAACTCTACTATAGTTCATCCGGGATACACCGCGTGCTCTTTACAGTGCAGTGGAGTCAACTGCATATGCGCTATCCCATTCAGAGCATGCTCGTTTTATCGCGTTTCACACATCCCTGTCTCACCACTAGTATACGAGATATTCGAATGCTCTGCTTGGGTTCCCAGGATAACCTTAGACATAGAAATAGACCTTTTCAGTGTCAGAAAAAAGGGTCAGCTCTCTTTAGCACCCTACGCAACAAAAGAATTCGCGAATTTCAAATTCACCGTAATATCATTGCAAACCCCAGAACAAGGACTGCATCAGAAATATGTGCAAGCAAGCAACGAAACCTTAGCGGTACCGGCCAACTTCCTTTTTCCAATAGCTTGCGCCACTCAGCAACAAGCGCGCTTCAACTTTTCAACGTGTAACAACTTACACTATTGTGATTGCGACGTTTCCGGAATTAAACCAAGCTGCCGTTGCCCTCATAACACCATAGAGCAACTACGTCGCAATAGTGAAAACGTTCTACCTATTTCGGCACCCCAGATTGAGATCCTTAGAGGAGAAAACACAGTGTTTGCGCGAACTAACAACAGCGAAGTAACCATAGCCATTGCTTCCAAAAACCACCTACAGCGTGCGCAGTATCACGTTGATATTCCTTGCTCGGTGCACATGCAAAAGCTCAACGGCTGTTACAGTTGCAGCCACGGTAGCTCTGTCATGGTGTCATGCTTCGCTTCCATGAAATCGTGGACAACGATTAGTTGTGCGAATTCTATCTTTTCCGTCGAGTGCACACCGGAAAACAAAACCACGATGATAAGAATGACGTTTGATAGCGCAGTCGTAAAGACCAAGTGCGAAAGCATTTGCGGTAACAGAACCATCTCAGTAGAACTCAACGGTATACTACACTATGTTTCGTACCAGGGACCAGTGGATATTTTTCTAACAAACTCATCCACAAAAATACCCCAACTAGACTGGTTTGACGACGCTCACCTCCCGGATTTATATCCTCTGTGGTTAGTACTTATCACTCACTGGAAAATCACACTAGTCATGACTATCATTCTTGCAATTGTAGTCCTTCTCACCTACATCTTCGGACCGATAGTCCTAATTACCTTGGCAAAACTCTTAGCGTCAGCTACAGTTTTTTCCATCAAAACCGCATGGGTTATACTCAAGAATACCGCTAGTGGACTACTGAGTTGTGTACGATCGATTAAATCCTTGAGACGCATGTATCAATAAACGCCCACGCTCGACAGCTCACGCTTGTAGGCAACATATTTAAAGCCTTCCAATCCGCTTTTTATACATTCATGGCAGACGACCTCGACAGAGAAATCCAGCTCATGGAATACGAGCGGCGTGCAACCATGGACGCCATAGGCAACACCCTGCAAACTATCACTGCTCGCCTTGAGTCGCTTGTATTCGCTGGTCGCCGAAATGAAGACGGATGTCAACACCCTGCTGGAAGCGCACAGCCCCCAAGTCTTCATGTGTATTCTGTGCCCTCAACGACAACGTTGACGGTCACTATTCCGGGAGATGTCATCGGTACGCAGACCCAGTCAGCCGAGCGATGCGGGTGCAAGAGCTGCGCTTATGCGGTCGCTGCTTGCGCCCGGATCACGGCGCCAATATGTGTACCGTCTCCTGCACGATTTGCCGTGGGGGACATAACACGGTTCTGTGCTCAACGCCTCCGATGAAGAGACGTAAGCACTAGCCGGTTATGCTCCTCCCTCCCGCTGTTCATTCCCCTGTGCTGCCAGCCATTCCGCGTCACCACTCCGTCGTCCAGTCGCCCGTCGCGTGGTATTCCTCGGTCGTCAATCTAATCACACTTCAATCGACAGCTACTGTTCCGTCAATATATCGTCTATTCTCACCAAGTTACTCCGCTTTCATTCGTCGTCTTACATTCTACGATAACACTGCTAGCCCTCCCATATGGCACTTCGACGTCACCTTGCTGTCACTATCAAAGCCCTACAATCGTCGCCGTATGGTATTGAATCGATGTGCCACCGCTTGCCATGACAGTTCAACAGCAGTTCCACGGCCGAGAGTTAGCTATGAGATTTCGATTTGGTATTGTACTATGTAGTGTAGTGTGTTTTGTTCCTTTTGATATATTCGCTGTACTGGCTTGTGTACAGGTCATGTGGGGCGCGCGCGGGAGTGTCGCGTCGTCGCGTTCGCGGCGACGCGACACACGGCTTAGCACCGCCCCCCAAGGCCTTCTCTCTCGCGTTAGTCGTGTGATAGTGAACGCAGCATAAAGTTGCGCATCAGTTTTGCTGAACCACCAAATAAGGCTACGGTGCCGCACAGCTGGTGCATCC